CCCCCAGCAGACCAGGGAGATGCGGAGCAGCTTTTCTCAGCAGACACCTCAGTTTGAGAATAATACCCTGAGGGAAGTGAGGTGTGGGAGAATAAAACTGAGCTCTGGAGAAATGTTTGGCTAGAGTTTCCCCTACAATATGTACCAGTTCCGACTTACATACAAATTCAACTTAAGAACAAACCTACAGTCCCTATCTTGTACGTAACCCGGGGACTGCCTGTATGTTCATTTTTTTGAGGTCTCATTTGCACAGTTCCTTGAAACAAAGGGACATCCAAATTGTGGTCTTTTTCCAGATGCCAATTCACCAATAAGGATGTCCTTTGGGACGCACCCATCATTCATTCATCACATATGCCCAAGCCAGTGGTGGTGTCTCTTTCTGAGGAGTGTTTTCATGCTGTATGCTAGCCCACTTGAGTGCCTGTGGGCTCATCTAATCTATGGGGAAGATTTGAAAGAATATGCAAATTCCGTGGGAATTCACATACCTTCTGCCGATCTCGCATAGCTCTGTGCTCCCTCCCCCTCCCCCATCAAAAAGCGGCATAAACCTCATTTTTTGAGGAAAATTCCTGGGGAATTTGCATATCCTCTTTCGACTCTTTTCCGTAGTCTAGATATTGCTTCTGTGTTGTGACTCTGTCCTTCCCAGGAGATGCCAAAAATTAAACAGCAACACACATGAAAGCTGATAAGCCCCATTTCCTGTCGAGAGTATAAGATCCATGCCTCACTCCCATACAAAACTGTGCTGATAATACGCTCGTGATACCCACAGATCTTTGTTCTATCAGTTTGTTGTTGTTGCTCAGTTTAAACATTGTTGTGGCAGCTTTTCCAATGTGGATGTTGAGTTTTGTTTCAAATAAAAGTCTGTTTGTCATAGGGGATTCCAGGTATTTGGAAATATTCATAACTTCAAGTTCATAGTTGGTGATCTTAGTGAAGGGTGCTTCCTCATCTCTTTAGAACATTATGATTATCTCTTTTTAGAAATCATACGTGCTCAAATATGTATGATTAGTAGTCCTGTGACACCTTAGGGTGCATCTACACTGCACCATTATTTTGAGATAACTAGTGTTATTTCTGCATAACCATGTGAGCATGTATGCAGCAATTCTGTTGTTTTGAAATAAATTTGAAATAACGGATGGCTTATTCTGACTTCTATAAACCTCATTTCATGAGAAATAATGCCTATTTTGGAATAGGGTGTGTGTGGACACGGCACAGGGAATTATTTCGAAATAAGGAGCCTCCAGGAAATTCCAGAGGTGCCCTGTTGGCCATTCCCTCCACACTTCTCAGGACTCAATAGTTCCTCTTCCACTGCAGCTCTTAAAGCTGCAGACACAGGGGAAAGGGCTTGTGCCAGGAAGCTGTCCCTGACAGCCTCTAGCCATACCACTGCTGTCACAGTACATTGTCTGGCCACCATAGCTGACCCTCAAGCCCCCCAACACTCCCCCTACTCCTAAGGAGCAGTCTGATGGCTCTCAGGAGCCTGCCAGATGGCAAAAGAGGTGTGCACCATCCGGGCCTGGGGTGGAGATCCCAGCCCTCATTGAAGTGTGGGGAGAGGAGGAAAACCAGTATCTCTGCTCCAGACTGTGCGACACCAATATCTGTGGCTGCATGGCTGTTCGGCTGGTCACCTAGGGCCACATCCGGACCCAGGAACAGGTCCAGATGAAAGTTGGAGTTCTGCCAGGGCTATGGTAGGGCGAGGGAGCGCAGCTCTGGTTCTGGGGCAGAACCACACACCTGGCCCTATTATCGAGATCTGTGCCACATCCGGGGGAGGGAGGGGTAGTGCAGCCCCTTCTCCACTCCTGTTGGTGGACTTAGGGCTGGAGATGCCTGTCACCGCCCACCCAGGGGCCAGAGCCGGTGAGGAGGAGGAGGACCTTGACACAGCCAGCACCATGACCTCGGTGACCCTGGAGCTGGTACCTCATGGCCTGGATGTGTCCCAGGCATCCTCCAAGACCTAGGAGGGAGCATCAGGTGAGTGACCTTAATTTTCTCACACAGATGGGGGGAGGCAGCAGGCAGTGAGGGGCTGAGATGCACTCCTTGCTCAGCCTTCTCTGACTAGGGAATTGCACTGCAGTGCGTGCATGTGGATGCACATGCAGTGGCAGTCTGCGCCATGGAGCCCCATCAGACTGCATCTCAGCATGCTGGGCTCCTGGTCACAGGATCTGGGGAGGCTTGCCACACTTCAGACACCTGAGTGGGACATGCTCCCATCACAAGCCACCACTAGAAGGAAGTTGGGGACAAGCAAGCCACCTCTAGAAGGAGGCTGGTGACAAGGACACACACAGACAGACTCTGGAGTGCTGCACACGGGCATGCCTGCATGCTTGAGGCAGCACTAGCTCCTGGGGACAGCGCTGCTAGGTGCAGGTGTGTCTGCTGCTCACACCCTTCACCCTGTTTACACCCTCACTCCTTTTCCCCCTGCAGCCAGGGATCCAACTTCTCTCCCCTTGGGATGCCATCACCGCCAGACCCGACGTGTACCCGGCACTGAGGCAAGCCCAGCCAACCTGAGGCCATCCTTCTGGCCACAGGATCCCAGAGTGGCCAGCAACTTCCCATACCTGCTTGTCCTTGGGACAGGAGGCATGGGGGAGTAAGCTCCCTTGAGGATGTCTGGGCCTCTGTAAGAAAAAGCTTGCAGTCCAGGCCACACATCCTTGCTTCCAGGACATCGCTTTTATCTGACCTAAGAACTGTTGATCTTGGCTCACAGATGAAGGCAAGGCTTGAAAGACAGTGTCTCAAGAGATGACTGACTGTCTCTTTATTCCCCCCCAGCCAGACCAGGTGCCTGAGAGGGGTGGGCAACACCATCCGAGGCAGTCGCCTGACACCGGGAGAGCTGCAGGCACTGGAGAATGCAGGAAGAACTGCTGTGGGAGCACATCTCTGTATTCTGTACATGAGATGCTGGACCAGAGGCTCTAGGAGGATATGCAGTGGCAGAGAAAGACTTGAATGGAGTTGCTGCAGCAGGGATGCAACATGTGCGTGACCATGCAGGCTTTCTTTGCCCTCCCAGAGCCAGCTCCTGCTGCCGCTCCTGCTCCAGTTCCAGCTCCTGGTCCTGCCCCATCTCCCATGCCAGCCCCTGCTCCTCCTCCCATGCCAGCCCCTGCTCCAACTCCCCCTTACTTCTCCCCCTAGCCTTCCCAAACCCCTCTGCCATGGTCACCAAGAGTCTTGCACATAAGGCAGAGGATCCATCCGAACCACATGCCCCTCCCAGCCCCAGCCCTGAGTGAGCCTCTCCTCACCCTTTCTCTTCATCCCTCTCTCTCCTCCTCCCCATTTCGAGATTCGTTCCCCAGTCCCTCCCAAGTTACTTCTACCCCAAATAAATAACCCAAGAGGTTTTTTTTGTTTTCCCCGAAATCAAAATGTTTTTTGATCATCTCTGCTGGGGCGAAGGGTGGAGGGAGGAAGGTTGGAGTTATTGGGGGAAAGGCAGCGAGGGGCAAGGCACAGGCCCTTGTGGAGAGTGTCAGTGCGGTCCTTGGGAGAAACTCTTCCTCAGGGCCTCGCAGATATGCACCCCTCTTGTCCCCCATGGGCCTGCTAGATTGCAGCTGTGTGGCTGTTTAAAGGCCTTGCCCTCCGAGCCGGCCTCTACCCCCTCACCCAAGAAGGGAACGCCTTCCTCTCACAGAGGTTGTGGCACACGCAACACGTGGGCATCACCTGGGAGATGTTCTGCTTCTCTACATCCAGGCAGGTCAGGAGGCATTGGAAATGGGCCTTGAGATGCTCGAAGGCGCATGCTGCCTGCATGAGGGTCCAGCCCAGCTGGGCATTAAAGTGGTCCTTGTTAGGGTTAAGGTGTCTTGTGTAGGACTTCATGAGGCCCGGCATGAGTGGGTAGGCCATGTCCCCCACGATGCAGAGTGGTATGTCCATGTCCCCGACCTTGATGGTGCACTCGGGGAAGGAAGTGCCGGCCTCCATCTTGTGGAATAGGCTAGAATTGTGGAATACGTGGGCATCGTGCACCTTCCCCTAACACCCAATGTAGATTTCAGTCAACTGCCCGTGGTAGTTGACCAGTGCCTGCAGGACCCTGGAGAAGTATTCCTTCTGGTTAATGTAGAGAGATGCCCAGTGGTCAGGGGCCCAGATGGGGATGTGAGTGCCATCAGTAGTCCCCCCGCAGTTGGGGAAGCCCATGGTGGCAAAGCTGGTTATGATGGGGTCCACATCGCCGAGGTGGATGACCCTGTGGAGCAGGATGGTGTTGATGGCCCTCACCACCTGCAGAAGGAGACAGACAAAACAGAGAATCACAGGGGTGCCAGAGTCCTTGGGAGGTCACCTAGCCCTCCCCCCAAACACACCAGGAGCCACCACCTATGTAGCCTACCCCTGTGGCAGGGCTGTGTGAAGGCAGGATTGGAGAACCAGCTGGGGAAGGGGGCTTCCCCCACACCCAAACCTCTCATTCCCTAGGATTCCCCTCTCCAGCACTTCACCCCTGCTCTTCTGGGACTGCAGCCCGAGAGCACCATACCTGCCTGATGAATGCCTCTATAGTCAACTTCCCCACACCAAACTGGCTCCCAATGGATCAGTAACTGTTGGCCATGGTGATCTTCCAGATAGCGATGGCAACCTGCTTCTCCAGGGGAATGGCAGGTCTTATCTGGGTGTCCTGTCATGTGAGGGCAGGGGTGAGCCAGCCACACAGTTCCAGAAAGGTCTGCTTCCTCATCCCAAAAGTCTGGAGCCGCTGCTGGTTGTCCCACCTCTCCATCATGAGCTGGTTTTACTAGTTGGCAGTGCACAGTGGGGTGCAGCTGGAAGAGCTGTGCTCCCAGACAGAGGTTGAAGGTCTCCTCAAGCAGATGGGAGTTGCGTTCCTGTGAGGCTAGGAGGGCAGCCTGCGGAAACTGCAGCACAACAGTTAGAGGCCATCAGGTGCCCAGAGGCAACTCCAGCACAACTATGATTGGTGTGGGGGTCCAATAACAGGGCAAGCAAAGCGTGCAGTGAATATGCTTTGCTTTCCCTCAGAGGTAGGCAAGCAGGAGAAGCACCTGAGAAATGCACCTCAGCCTCAGGCAGCAGTTCCATGAAGTTAACTGCTGACCTGATGCCCTGCCTGAAGTGGTTCTGGATGCAAGTTAGCATCCAATCAGTGTGGATGCTCTATTTCAAAATAGCTAAGCACTATTTCAATGCACTTTTTGTGTGTAGATGTGCTATTTCAAAATAAGCTATTCCAGAAAAAAAATTCTGGAATAGTTTATTTCAAAATAAGTGTGCAGTGTAGACATATCCTTGGAGACAAACCCAAATATATAAAATCATAAAACCCGGTGGGTTTTACCCATGAAAGCTCATGATTCTATATGTTTTGGTTAGTCTCTAAGGTGCCACAGGATTACTCGTTTTTAAAGATACAGACTAAGACAGCTATCCCTCTGACACCTTTTTTAGAGGGGTAGCTGTCTTAGTCTGTATCTTTACAATAAATCCAAAGTCTTGGCAGGGTTTGGAAAAACTATCCATAATGCTCTTCTTTGTGGGTTGTTACTGGTGAGTCTTCAGCAAAGAAGGTATTGAATGAGGCCTTCCCGAGTCTTGAATTTAGATCTTAGTCTTGCAGGATTGAACAGCATTCCATCAGATCTGGTTTGCAAGTAGATTGCCTCTGTTGAGGAACAGAAGTCTTGTTCCAGTAGTAAGGAGAAGATCATCCTAGGGTTGGGACAAGTACGCAGCCTGGCTTAACTCCTCTACAAATCTTGAAAACCTTGGAGTCTGAGCTGTTGGAACTAAGCCATACATGTTTTCATGGAAAGATTGAATCATGCTTAAAAGCTTAGCATTCATTTTTTTTTTCTAGCAGTGCAAATTTCCACTTCAACTGACAAAACCAAAAGCATTTTTGAGATTGACAAAGGGCTTTTTTTTGGTTTTGTTCTCTGTATTTCTCTTGTAGCTGTCTCAGTTAGAAGATCATGTCAATAGTAGACCTTTCAGATCTGAAACTTCAATGTGTTTCCAGATAGATTGTATGTGCAAGGGTCTGAAGTCTGTTCAAGACAACTGAGCCAAAGACTTTATCCACAGTGCTAAAAAGGGAAATGCCATGATATTTGTTACTGTCAGTTCTTTCACCAGTGCTTTTGTACAAAGTGGTGATGATGGGGTCTTTAATTTCTTGAGGTACTTTGCCTTCTTTCCAGCATAGGTCTTTCTACTGGAAATGCCATCTCTGGTAAGGCTAAGCACCTTGACAATTGGTTCATCATTGAGTTGGTTCTTAATGGGCAAGCTTTAGATGGCACTGATGGCAGTGTCCATAACAATATTTTCAAGAGTAAAGCTCAGAGTAGTGTTCTACCCAGTGATCCATCTGCTTGGTGAGGTTGTTCATTGTTTCCCCTGTTGTTGATTTCAATGAGGGTGTCTCTTTTTTGAAGTTAGGCCCAAGGCTTTCTTGATCCCATCATACGTGATGATGAAGATAACAACAAAAACAACTGCTTGGATGCTGTTGCGTAAGTACAGTCAATAATCATTGGTCTTGCAACGCTAGATACTTGTAAGGTTTTTTCATTTGGATCTCTCATAGTTGGTTTGGGTTTTGCGTTAGGTCTTTATAACTGGTGTCAATACACTTGGACATGTGTCTAACCAGTCGTTAGGCTTGTTTTCCTTCTTCCCAAAGATAGCCAGCTATATCATAACTCGTGTTCTTCAGTTGCTCCCACTTGGGTCTGCACTTGTGGCACAATCTTAGGAGTCAAAGATTTGTTGTATTATGTTCCTTCACTGCTTTGCCTTTCCTTCATTGCTAATGGCACTAATATTAATGCAAGCACATCCTTTTATTTCAGATTTGTGTATTTTCTGGAAGTCTGACTTTGCTGTGTATCAGAGAGTGATTAGTGTTGCAATCAACGCTTTCATAGATGCAGGTCTTGAGGATGTGTTCAGCTTGGTACACCTTATGATTATACTGTCTAGTTGGTGCCAGTGGCCAGATCTGGGATTAGGGATGTAAGCAACTAGTCAACTATCCAATAAGCAAAAGCTTATTGGATAGTCAACTAGTCGCTTCCCCCCACTCTTTGTTGACTTTATCAGTGCAGCAAGGGCAGGGAGCGGGAGCCAGTGCTGCTGTGCTGGGGGGGAGCTGGCTTAAAAGCTGGGCTCCCCCAGGCACCATCTCCATGGGAGGCAGGGGGGAAGTAGGGAACTTGGGGCAAGCCAGGAATCACCTGATTCCCAGCTCGCATCAAGTCGCGGATGTTGCACCTCTGCTATTTAAATGTATTAAGAGCCAGTCAGCTCTTACTACATTTACTAGGGAGAGCTACAGCAAGAGTAGCTCCTGGGGTGGGAGCTAAACATGCTGTGGCTCCCCTGCTTATTGACTAGTCGATAGAAAATCCATCCATTATTTGATTAAACTAAATTTAACATCCCTGCCTGTGATGTTTCCAAAACACTTTGCATTGTGACGTCTGGAAGAATGAGTTTGTTATGCAGAGGTCATAATAGGAACAAAATTCTGGTGATCTCTGACTATTTACATTCATCTTACCAGTCAAATGTTGACCAAGATAGTTGGTTCATATTTCCTCATCAACTCCCACCCTTGCATTGAAGTCCGCTAGAAGGAAACCATATGCATATTTCAGAATCCAGCTGATAGAGGTTTTCAGCTAGTCATAGAGCTGGTGTTTGATGTCAAAAGACAAGAGAGTGTTAGGACATACACACTCAGAAGTTTGACTTGGCAATAAGATACGAACAAGAATAGTGCCAAAATTATCTCTGATCCATTAATAGGTGGCTCAGTCATCCCTAGAAATAAGTTCTTGATGGCAGATCTCATTCTGTGTTCTCACATTTCTTCAGCGCTGTTCCTGTGCCAGAAAAATGTTTAGTCTTTTTCCCTGAGAAATCCACTTGATGATAGCTGTATTTCTTAGAGGCATGTGATATCCATATTCAGTTGTTTCAGCTTGTTATTAATCAC